AGTGCGTATCTGTTGAAGGATCTAAATAATATTTTTTTATTAAATAATATTAATTTAATTGATGATAATATTTATTTAATTTAATATAAATTTAATAAATAAACACATAAATAATACCTATACTGATTCCATGAAAGTTAATAATATTTTCATGGTAATGTAGAGCCAGGATATTTTTTAACTGCGATTCCAAAAAATTTTATTTAAATTTTAATCTCATCTCGAAAATATATATATATATTAATGAAAACAGAGTACTTATTTTTTACCTCTTTCAAGAATCTTTCATAAACAAAATCAATATTTCCATGCAAACTTTTTAATGCAATTTGTTTTTCTAAATTTTTTAAATTAGCACGATAAACTGTACCAAATCCTCCTCTTGCGATTTCTGTAATATTTTCAAATGTGTTATAATCAAATTCTTTAATATATCCACCTTCTAAGGCACTATTAAACAAATCTTTTTTGCTAGACATTTTTCGGAATGAAAAATTGGCGGTATATTACACAAATTTATTTATTTAGAAAATTAAGGAAATTGTAAAACGCCGATGCGAATGTGGTAACACCAAAATACTAATTGCACAAAAATAACTAAAAACAAAAATTTCAGTCGAAATTAATCATGTTGAATGTACCATAGAAATTGAAAAAATATCAATGCGAATTTTAGAATTAAAAAAATCATCAAAGGATTTATACAAGAAATTAAGTAATATATTTTATATTATTATCATATTTATATAATATATCATATGATTTTATTTGTCATTAATGTGTTGGTTGTACAAACTTTTAGGCAATAATTATGTACTGTATTTAAATTTCCGAATCTTTGAATAAAAATTTCAAACAAAAAAGAAGTAATCATAGTGTCACAAATGTGCAGAGTATTACGAACACTTTTGCCTATCAGTCTCAAAGTTTGTCTCACACAAACTTATTTTTAATATGCTCCATTTGCCAGTAGGTTGAGCAATCCATCGATCTAAACTTGTCTATCTCAAAACAGATAATAAAATATAATATAATTCTCTTTAATTCTTTATTTTTAATCTGAAGGCACAGTGAATAAGGTGAAGTAAAAGTGTTAACACAGTATCAAATAATATTTAACAATATTTTGCAATATCATGACACAAAAGATAAGTTTATTAATATATAAAAGGTACAAATTTTAAAAGGAAAGTATCATTTAACAACAGAAATATTATGGGTTATGTTGTCACCAGTGGTTCCTGGTTCTACTGAGGCCAAACCAGTAGTGTGACTTAACAGTTCTTTTAAGGAGTTTATAGTCCCTTCCCAAAGGTAAGACTGTTGTTCAGTTGTTTTAGAAGGCACCACTGATTCAATTATTTTAGAAAGGGAATCAGACCTTTCATTTAATTTATTCCAATATCTTTCCAAGTTTGTCATCATCTTTAGTGTTAACATCCATTCATTAATCATCTTTTAATTTCATCAACTTTAAATATTATTTCCAATTATCCAGGTTAAGTATTATTCCAAATCCAGAGTTTATAATAATAATTTATAATTAATTTCATTAACTCAAGAATAATAATATTATGCAATTATACAACCAAGTATTTAATCCCATAATATCCATTATTCTTTTGTTAACTACATATTTTATTATTTAATATGACTTTTATTTAATATTTCTAATATTTATTATTTTATTAATTCAATTATAGGGTAATTTTTACAAGTATTTATCTTGGAGTTACAATTATAAAATTAAATTATCAATTTCAAATAAGTTACAAATTATCAAAATTCAAAATTATAAAATTGTAAACTAAAGAGGGGCAAAATAATTTCAGTCCCTTTTTATATCTAAATTTAATGATCTTCATTACTGTGCCTACTGTGCCTTACTGTACACTACTATTATTGGTTACTATTCCTTTATATTATTTACTAAATATATCTAATACTAATTAATACTATATGTTAATAATTATTGTTAAATAATGTTAAGTGATAATAATTAATGTTACAAATTGCAGTTATGTTTGTATAACTAAATATTATGTGAATACGTGATCTTGTACTACTATTCCACGACAAATTAATGTGTGTTACAGACTATAAATGTTAGTTGAAAAATTATTAAAGTGTTACTATTTGTTACACGAGTTAATATTTACTAATTAAATTTTAAATACTATTATTTTCTAAAGTTATTATTAATTATCTGCTAGTGTTTCTAGTGTTGTATACTATACTTTTCATGATAATTTCATTCTGTAACAACATGTCTATTTTACAATCCCTAAAGGAAGTTTACCTTTCTATCTAGTAATATTAATATTTGTAATTATTAATTAACTGAAGTCTAAGAAACTACTAAGACTACTGTTTCTTGTTTCTAATAACCAGTTCTCTTATGCTTTTTCATTTTCACTCAAATTTTACCCATCATCCTTTGTACTCTATCTTTCATCCTTGTGCATCATCCTTCATCCTCATATGTTATCTTTCAGATGGCCACACAAGTTATCATCCTCATATTGTCACAGTCTGTACAGAACAATGTGAAAAATTAAACCAATCAGTCTCAATAAATTTAGGTCAATCACATGATAATTCAATATATTACTAACACACTTTCTCTTGTGCACAATATCTTAAAACACAGCAAGACAGACAATTAGTCAATCTAAACTTGCTTACTAACACTCACAAACAATGCAATTATATATAATATCCAAAGATATGGTAAGCAAGTGGAGTAAAAATATCTTTACTAACTGCTTTATATACTTTTGAAATTTAACAGACTTTCTGAAACAACTTATCAAGTAGAGTAAAACAGTTTATTAAAAATTTATTAAAATTTATTAAAAGAATAGGTCAATAGAGATATACTACTGCATTAGCTTTTCTTATCCCTTTTGTTCCAATACACAAAATTATTACTAAAATTAAAAACTATTACAAAAATTATTTATTATTATTAAGGTTATTTCAAAACTATTTGTATTTGTTATTACTAAAATTATTAAGAAATTATTTATTATACAAAAAAATATAATTATGAAATATTCAAATTGTTACAAAATTATTTGTTATGATAAATTATTAAGAAATTCATTATTAAGGTAAGAAAATTATATAATTTAAAAGTTTTCATGAGAAGAGGAATCTATTTTTCTTTCTTTCCAGCCACAGCTATTTTATAGTTTTCTTTTTGTTTATCTTCATCCTCTGTTATCTATAAAAATAATTTTGTACCAGGATAAAATAATCTGTTATTCTGGATAATAGAGATACACAAAAATAATTCATTCCCATGACTTTTATTTTTTTGTATCACCTCAGACATTTCCTCCTTCAACAGGAAGCTCCCATGACTACAATTTTATACTTACTACTTCTTCCATCACCTGCAGTCCTATTAGTTATAGGAACCTATCAAATTCTAATTTAACAACTTGTATATTCAATCAAGGTAATATGGCAAAACTTCTTTATATAAGGTGTTCCAATTTTCTAAAAGAGAGCCCTTATCCTTAAAGCTATCTGATACATGTGACCTATTATGCCCTATAGTAAATTGAGCTTTTATGACCTGCCTATAATAGATATGACCTAAAATGTTCAGTCATGGCTTTAAGTTTAGTTTATATTTATTTGAAAGCAACGTTCAGTTTATAATCAGGGTTGTGGTCGTACACTGTACTATTCAAAATCTAGGATTGGCCAATTAGAATCATATGATTTACAATCAGATGAATAATAAACCAATTAAAATCGCCAAAGTATCGTTTTTGAGACACCCTATGGTTATTTTTTTGATACATCAAATACGTGTGACAAAAATGGTCATTTTTTTATGTTTATAATTGTTTATTTATAGATGCATCAAAAAAATAACTATTTCGTTTTCTAGACATCAATATCCATAAAACAATTACTGAGGAAGAAGAATATCTAAATAATATGTTTGAAAATGATTCATCTCTTACAGAAAATGAAAAGAAATTTTTATTAAATGAATTACAGATGAAATGTGATGTAATTAGAATTGGTAATAATTCTATAGAAAAACAACAATGCAGCAATTGTCAGAATTAGCATCAAGCAACCCAATACTGTGAATTTTGTCTTCGTAAATATTTAGAAAATAATTTTGGAAATTGGACATCTGGAAATAAAGAAATTGACAAATTAATTCAAGAATGTCAGCAAAAAAACTCTAGCATCCGATTTTGTAATTGAATGGATTGAATATGATCAATTTGAGGATGTGATCATCTGGCAGAAGGAGGATGTGCTACCGTTTACACAGCAACTTGGAAAGATGGAAGCTATGATAATGGAATTCTAAAAGACAAACATTGGAAAGATTTGGAAGACAAAAGATTGTTTTAAAATATTGAATAACTCAAATAATAATAATGTGAATTGGTTTCAAGAAGTAAGTTAAATTATATTTATTATATTCTGTTTGATATTTCAGAAATATTAATTACATAATTACAAAAAATTATCAGGTGACATTAAGTTTCACACTTGATAATACTCCAGCATTTCTTGTTACATGTTACGGAATAACTAAAGACCCAACCACCCATGATTATATGTTAGTTTTAAATTATTATCAAAATGATTTAAGAAATTTTTTAAAAGATAATTATCAATCACTCACATTATTACAAAAATATGATATTATTGACCGTATAGCAAATAGCTTAGATGAAATTCATGAACAAAACACAGAGATTTGCACTCAGGGAATATTTTATATAGTGCAAAAGATTTTATCCGGAAAATTAGTGATTTAGGATTTAGTGGGCTAGTTGACAAACAATTAGATAGTATTTATGGGAATCTCCCATACATTGAACCTGAAATTTTATGTAGAAAAGATTATACAAAAAAATCAGATGTGCATAGTTTAGGTATTATAATGTGAGAAGTGATTACTGGTGAAACTCTCTTTGGTGATCATGAATTTAATTCTGATTCTTATTTTGCTCTTGCAATAATTAATGGATATAGTCCTAAAATTTACAAATATATTCCAGACGAATATGCAACTTTAATGAAACAATGTTGGGACGCTAATCCTGATAATAGACCTGATGCATTAACAATTTATAATAAATTGAGATCATTAATAAAGTTATTGTATAATGAGATGGATGAGCCATCTATTCAATCTAACAGTTCAAAATCGAATTTTTCCCAATCAAGTTTAACAAAAGATAAAAGTGCCCAAAAAATGCAAACCAGTAAAGAGTATACATTTAACATTTCAGCACAACCTAAAAATGCCACAGAAGGTTTATTTTATTTTTTTATTTATTTATTTTATATTTTATTTTATATTAATTTTTCATCTTTTCATCATCTTTATAGAAGAACAAGGTAAAAATCGTTCAAATTATTAATTCCAATAAAAATTTCCATTTTAATATAGATTAATGTAATTTTGTACATTTTATTATTTAGCATACGAAACTAAACAATTTGATTTTGAGATTTCTGAAGGTAATATTTGATTGGCTTTTTTTTAATACAATATAATTGAATATTTATTTTTAAAAATACTTAATTTATTGCGTAATTATAGAAATGGAGCAGCTAAATGATTTTATTTTTATACCTTTCTATATTCATAAAGTTATTTATTTTTTTTATTTTTATTTTATTTCGATTTTAGCCGATAAAGAATCTGGAATTGCAGTCTCATGACTAAATTGTTTATTTTTTTTTATTCTATAATTCATATTTTTTTATGTATTATTTATTTTATTATTTAAACAATTGATTTATATTAAATTAAAATTATTTTTACATTCATTTTATTATATGTCAACTCACGTATGTACATCGATATACAATTAAAAAGTTCAATCTACGAAATAAATTAAATAAAATTCGAATGTTCCTTAGTATCTATTTATAATATCAATAAATATGAGAAATCGTTTGAATAATAATTTATTTTTTTTAAAAAAAAAAAATTCGATGATGTTAAATTTGAAAATTTTTATTGTCAAAAAATAGAATGGCCGATAGAAACATTATTTTTAAAAAATTTCATCAAGCAACAAGCAAGTTAAGTCAAACTTACTTATTACCCATTTTCATAATAATTAAGGTATTATTGCAAATTATAATTGTGGCGGCAAGATAATACGTAAGTAATCAAAATCTATTTTTGCTAAACAAAATTGGTTGGTTGGTGAATGTATGTATGTTAAGTGTCTATTAAAATTGGCATCATCTTAAAAGTGAAGTCTTTACTATTGATGAGTTATTGTTGGTGCTTGAAAGTGAGATATTATATCTATGAATCATTTGTTCATTTGTCATTTTCTTTTGATTTATGGATTTTTCTTCTGCTAAATCAAATTATCTTTTTGAAATAAAACCACGGGTGTTTTACTTTATCGTAAAGGAAAGGATTATGAATTATTTTTATTATTCTATATAATCAAAAATAATAGAATGATCTAAATCAAATCGAAAATTATATTTGTAGCAAATCTTTTTTAGAATTATTCTTTTCTATTATATTATTCTACTAGAACAGAACTGATAATAATATTGATACAATTATCCAATTATTTATTCATTATTATTATTATTTTTACCTGAATGAGAATTTACGATCATATCACCCATATTATCCATCCATATTACCAATATTATCGAAACTTATAATCATATCCAGCTTTTTATTTCCTCCTCGTTTTCTTTCCCATTTCGCAACTTTCCAATCTTCTTCTTCAATTATTGTAATTTTATCATGAACATTATTAATGTAAATAAATGATTGATCATAAAAATTATTATTATAATTATTATTACTATAATTATTATTATTATTATTATTATTATTATTGTTGTTGTTGTCGTTGTTGCTATTATAATTAATGTTGTTGTTATTATTTTTTATGTTATTAAATTCGTAATCTTTTTTTATTAATAATTTTAATTCATTTAATGAAGTGTCTTCGTGGATCTTGATGGAATTTTGATATGTGGAGTAAACGTACGTTAAGATAATTGGATTCTATTAAATAATAATATATATAAATAATGAAAAAATGAATAACCCGAATAATGCATGAACTATGAATAAAGAATACCTTAATACATGTATTATTACTATTATTAATATTAATATTATTAATATTATTGTTGGTGTTGTTGTTGTCGTTATTATTACTACGGATTAAAGGTTCACCTAATTTTCTACCAAATAATAATAGTTTTATTCCTTCTTCAAACATTATTAAAGTATTTTGATTTACCCAATTTCCAGGTTTGGCGACTATTACTTTGGCATTATTTAATTTACCAAAAGTTGGATCATTATTAAATCTAATCGAATTATTAAAAAATCCATTTGGATAATGAAGAAAAACTTTTTTAAAATTATCTTTTAGCGTAATGTAAATATCTCTATTATTATTGTTATTACTATTTTTTAATTTAAATCCAATCACTTGATCAATAGGAATGAATACTTCATCTTGCATTAAATTATTCATATTAATAGATAATCCATTTTCAGTAAGTCTTAAACATAATTCAAGTCTTGAATTATTTTTAGGAAATAAAATATTATTCGTAGGTAAGAATGTTATTTTATAATTATCAATACGAATGAATTGTGAATGAACTTTTGTTATTGAAATTGGCGAAGTTTTTTTTGTTGCTGTCGAAGTGATGAATGAAGAGAATGGTGGTGATGGTGATGATGATGATGTTATTGGTGTTATTGGTGATGTTGTTGAAGAAGAAGAAGAAGATTGATGAATGGCGGTTTTTGTATTATTCAATCGTTGATGATAATGATGGTGATGTTGATGATAATGTATTGGTGGTATTATTAAGTTTGGTGAATGTAATGAATGCGGTGGTGGAAATGATCGAAATTGTTGGAATTGTTGATGAGATGATGATGAAGTAGCTGATAGTGGAAATGAAAAGGATTGATGATTATTGGCTAGTGTAAAAATTTTGTGAACTAAAAATATTGAAAATATAAAAAGTAATATTGAATGTATAGAAAATAAATGATAAGAAACCAGTTTTATTTTCGTTATTTTTATCAATAGTAAATCCGATCATTTTATTTTATTTAATTTTTTTTTATGTGAAAAAAAATCAATCGTTTATCTCAATGAAAAATGATGAAAAATTTATAAATTTATAACTTTTTGTAATATTTGTGTCATTAGAAATGTTTATAAATTCATATAGTATATCTGATATTATACTTTTTTTTTTTTTTTATCAGGAGTGAGACTTTGACTAATCTCAATATTAACCATTTTTGGTAACAAATGTAAAGCTTTTTATTCTTTTATTATTGTAATATATACTATTTATACATAGCAAATAATATTACAGCACATTCAATTAGATTTTTTTTTAATATGACTGATAATAATATTTTTTTTCTCTTTTATTGAACATGTAATTTTTTTTTCGTTAATTGGATTATTTAAAAATCATCCTTTTCTTCTTTTCTCGATTCATTCATAATTATCATAAAATAATATGATATGAATAAGTATTATATCATTTAAAAATTAAAATTATTTGGTACTATAAACATATGCAAGTACAGAATATATATTCGATCATTCACTTGTTTAAACGATTCCCTGGTAAATTTTTTCGGTTATTTATTATTAATTATTATCAATGTTTATTATTTGGAATTTATTAAAATTTTATTTTTATTTTATTTAATTTTATTTAATTTTATTTTATTTTATTTTATTTTTTTTTAAAAAAAAAATCGAATTGATTTAATTAAGCGAATGAATGAGGGAATGAATATTTCGATATCAATTATATATCTTTCTGAAATATATTTATATTGTTTCCTCACTTTTTAAAAGAAGACAATACTTCTTTTGCACGTATTTGTACTTTACTTTACGTACATATATATATATAATTTATTTATATTTAAATAAATGTCGAAAAAGAGAGAATTTGAATTGACCACAATCAATACAATGTTTGTTTACTTGTATTCTGTAAATATTCAATTTACGGTAATTAATTTATACATTATACATTATACTTTACATAATCTATTACTATTACTATTATATATATAAAGTAATAATAATTATGTATCAATAAACAAATAAATAAAATAAAATTCAATTTAAATAAATAAATAAATTCGATTTGATAACCAATCTTTTCTTTCGTTCATAAAATGTCAATTGGGTCATTTTATTACATTTGAGAATCATTTATATATATATACATTTGGTAGATAAATGAGATTTATTATTTTTAATTATTATTTATATTTTGGGTTGTGCATTTTCATCATCTTCATCTTCATCTTCAACATCTTTTCATCTCTTTTTTTTTTTTTTTTTCTTCCTTTTTTCCTAATTTTTTTTTTTCGTCATTTCTTTTTCTCCTTATTTTTACTTTTTACTTTTTTTCCTTTTATTTTATTTTTCTTCATCTCATTTGTTCAATTTCTTAATTTCTTTTTTTTTTTTGTTCTGTTCTTGATATTAAACCGCATATGCTGACCGCATATATCGCATATACCAAATATATTCGAAAATTATTGCCCATATACCCATATATATATATCGAATATTTTTATGTTTCGTATATTCCGTAAATGCTAAATTGTTTATACATGCGAATTTCACGATATCCATATATATAACTAATTATAACGTTATATGTGCCGTATAAACAAGTATTATATAAATAAGTTGTTAGTGTAATTTAGTGTCAAAGTTTGTAAAGTTAATTTTATTTATTTATTTATTTATTTACTCCACTTTTCTATACTTGATAAACTACGATATACTTGATATACTTGATATACTACCACTTGTCTATTTATATTTGCTATTTGCTATTTCTAGTTAACTTATTTTACATTTTTATTTATATTTATTTATATAAATCAATCACACATTATTTAAAATTGGATTTATTTATTATATTTTTATGTCAGTTATTTATTAAAGTTAATGGATTTATAGGTTAAAGCCAAGCCAAAAGATTTGTTATTAATTAATTTCGTGTCACTGAACTTTATCTTTATAATATATTACAGGTGCACGGAAATAACTGATAATGTTGTAATCGTTACTTTGAATTACTTACTGAATTAAAACTGATTTTATATTATTATTATAATTATAAAAGAATACATTTAAATAATACATAAAGAATAGATTAAATAATACATTAAAGGAATTGTTTAATGAATATTTTTTTTAATGGATATTTACAGTTAGTACATTATTGATCGTTACGGTAATTAATGGTAATTAATGATAATTAATAGGTTACGAGAAAATGTTTTATACTTTAATGTTTTATTGTTTTTGTAAATTTTCATAGGGGTTTTTTATTTGTGTATATATATATAAAAATGGTTTCCTAGTTAATAAAAAAATTTTTTTTTATTATTATTTATTTTATTTTTCTTCTTCTACTACTACTACCACTACTTCTTCTTTTTGTTGTTGCTGTTCCTTTTCTTATTTTATTTTTTTTTTATTTTTTTTTTTCGTCCGTCGTCGCTGCCGTCGTTCGAAGTATATAAATAGATCAATCCTTGATTTCTTTGATTTCTTTGATTTTTTATCGTTATTTAAAAAACATTTTCCCTTATCACAACCCTTCATACACACCAAACACATACTATACACACAATACACAATACATACCAGCACAAAATCATATCTCAATATCCATCATTCTTCAAGAATTATTCATATACCCGAAGACTCAACGACACTCACTCAACCAATACTTTCGAAACTCTCAAAGTTTTCGATACTAATAATAATAATAGTAAAAATAAATAATAATAATAAATATAATAATAATAATTAATATAATAATAATAATATAATAATAATAATAATAAATAATTTTATAATAGTAATAATTTTATAATAATAATAATAATTTTATAATAATAATAATAATAATGGTTTCATCAATTAAAAGAAAATTATATATTCCTCCTGATGTGATCGAAGAAATCTTACAATATTTAGAGAACGATATCTCGGCACTTCATACTTGCCTTTTAATAGATAGACTTTGGTGTGTATTAACCATTCCTTATTTATGGTTTAATCCATTTAACTCGATAAATAAAGATACAATAATTAATACCATAATAAATAACAATAATCAATATAATAATAATAATAATAATAATTACAATGATAATCATGTTCAAAGAATAAATAAAAATCGAGGAATTTCGATCATAACACAAATCATTAATAGTCTTGATGAAGATGAAAAAAGAAGATTACAAGATTTGGTGGGAATTGAAACGATAATAGAAAAGGTGACCACGAAATTTGATTATCCGAGATTTATTAAAGAATTAAATTACGAAAAGATTCAATGGTCGGTTATTAAATGGATCGAAGATATCGTAATTAATAAAAATAATAATTATAATTATAACAATAATATTATTAGAAGAGATAATCGTAATAATAATAATAATAATATTAATATTAGAAGTAGTAATAATATTAGAGAGAATCGTAACATTAGAGAGAATCGTTACATTAGAGATAATCAGAAATATAAGAAAAATAATATTAGAGATAGTCGTAGTAATAAAAGAAGAAGGATTGATATTGAAGATATAAATAATTTTGATATGAATGGTGATGATGTAGATATGATGAATATAGACTATGAAGTTGATGATGATGATGATGAATGTCATTCATTAATGTTCGAAAAAAGAGAAGAAATTTTATTAATTATTATGAGTAGTTTATTTAATAAGAGTGAAGGATTTAGTGACTTAAATATTACTTATCATCCTAATTCTTATTTCGATTCATATTTAAATCAATATTTTAATTCACAATTTGATTCATCATCATTGATTGATTTAACATTTATCAATAATGTTTGTTCAAAATACAATCAAAATTTTCCATTATCTAAATTATCAAATTTATCAAAATTTGAATTCATTTATTACAATACATTTCCATTTATCGCTTCCTTTCCTTCCTCCTCCTTCTCCTCCTCCTCCTCCTCCTCCTCTTCCTTCTCTTCACCTTCCACCACTTCCTCCATCGTCACAATTTCTCACTCTCAAAAAATTTTTAACAATTTAATTACGATTGCTAATTATTCACATCACCTTGATCATCTAAATATCAATATTTATAATGATGAAACTAAAATTTCTAATAATAATTTATTAGAATATACTCAAGCATTTTGTGAAATTATCAAAGTTCAACAAAAATTGAGAGTATTAGAAATTAATGATTTTTTCTTTGAAGATGATGAAGAAGATGACGATAATGGTAGTAATCTTAGTATTAATAGTGAATCGACCAATTCATCATTATTATCAAATGATGAAGATGATGGAAATAATGAAAATGATGAAGGTGATGAATATGAGGATGATGGTGGTGATGAATATGACGATGATGATGATGATGATGATGATGATAATGATTCCATCATGTTTATGGATGAAATTTTTTCATCAGCTGAAATGATAATAGAAACATTTAGAACGAGTCAAGTGTCTAAAAGTTTAAGATACTTGAAAATTAAAGAATTATCGTTATCGAATTTTGAATTCTTATTGGAAATTTTATCCATTTGTAATAATTTAGAAACATTAGAATTATGTGATTTATTTTCTCAAAATAATAATAATAATGTTAATAATAATAATATTAATAATCATAATAATATTATAAATAACATTAATAATTATAATAACATTCATAATAATCATAATAATATTGTCGATAATTCATTATTAACTTATAATTTCTTTTATCCAACATCAAATTCGCATCCACCAATTCCTCAAACTTCTTTAAAAAATTTAATTATTCACTCAACTTCTTCTCTTTCCCATCATTTAAATCATCATCATCATCATAATCATCGTCATCATCATAATCATCGCAATCATCATAATCATCGTCATAATTCATTACCCTCTATTACAAATTCACAACAACAGCAACAACATTTTACTTTATCTGCCATAACCACGTTATTACAATTAACAAATCACTCTTTAACTTCATTTACCCTTCTCGTTCAAGATATACCAATTAACAGTTCTAATGAAATTTATAATACTTTAACTAACCTTTGTCCAAATTTAACTCAATTAACTTTATTTTTATCTCATTCCTCTACCACGATTTCTTCCTCTTTTCAAAATAATTCTCCTTTACTTGTTTTATTATCATCATTAAAAAATTTAGTTAATCTCACGATTTTAACTCAACCCGTCACTACCACCGCCACA